TTGTAATTTAGTGTTTGGGAGTGTTTATAATGTCTTTCGTCCAAAAGAGACGCATTTCAATTTTCTCCCATTGACTTATAATGGGGAGGTCGCAAAATTGACCTGACCTTAGGTCATCGATATCAAAATTCTGAGATATACATTTTGTACATGCTATTGCTTTTAGCAAACGCTGAAAGTTTCAAAGCGATCGGTCACTCGGTGTTGCTATGGCAGACATTGAAACTTTTTATGAGGTGAGGTCACTTCAAGTGACCTGGTGACCTGACCTTGAATGACCTTGGTCTGAAATTTTCACAACATGTGTAGAATTGATGCATGGTAAGGTGTACAAAAAATGGCGGCGCTCCGCGCCCCCGTTTTTGAGATATTCGCGAAAAACCACAAGGGGGGGGGGGGTGTTCAAACACCCCCCCCAGCAGGGCGCGGGTTAACCCTGCTCAAATCAACACCTGGCGCCTCTTAACCCGTTTCCCGGAAATTACTTCGTAAAATTATATCCTCTTCTCTCACCCTAAACAACTAACTTTCTTAACTTACAAAATACAGCGTGGTCACAGCTAGCACTCACAAGTTTAGCTGCTCGTTATCATTCCTATCTTGATCTTACTCAACCCATACTTTCCTTATTCAACAGAAATCAACGACTATTAATGGGATGACTGATGGATAATATATTTAGTACCGGGGGTCTAGATTGGGGCTTTCCTTCGGACAGGTACGGCGAGAACTGATCACCAGTAACTCGTCGGGGCTTAGGATGAGCGTTTGGACGGGGTACGACAAGAACTGATCACCAGTAACTCGTCGGGGCTTAGGATGAGCGTTTGGACGGGGTACGACAAGAACTGATCACCAGTAACTCGTCGGGGCTTAGGATGAGCGTTTGGACGGGGTACGACAAGAACTGATCACCAGTAACTCGTCGGGGCTTAGGATGAGCGTTTGGACGGGGTTACGACAAGAACTGATCACCAGTAACTCGTCGGGGCTTTAGGATGAGCGTATGGACGGGGTACGACAAGAACTGATCACCAGTAACTCGTCGGGCCGTAGGATGAGCGAATGGACGGGTACGACAAGAACTGATCACCAGTAACTCGTCGGGGCGTAGGATGAGCGAATGGACGGGTTACGACAAGAACTGATCACCAGTAACTCGTCGGGGCTTAGGATGGGCGTATGAAAGGAACGCAGGGCATATTTTAGTCGTTGATCTCCTAAACAAACGAACGGATGTATATCCTAATATCTTTAATCCTACTTCCCGAATCCTATCCTGATATCTATGTACTTGGACAACCTTCGGAGAATTTACAGAAAACCTTCTTTCGGAACACCGTAGCATTACAATGAAAGAAAATCACTCACCTTTCTGGAACTTCTCCGGGCCAGCTCCTCAGCCTCCGACCAGTGCACAGTGGGCGATCCGCCCGGTGTAGCCTCGCGAAACCTATCGGCATTCATAACATCTATGTTTTTGAAGCTAGAACCACAATATTTAGGAGCAACCTTCTTGAATATCCAATGATCATATGTTTTAAGTAAGGACTATCTCTTATAGGATTTGTGCTCTGTGGCGAGCTTGCAATTTGCCTAATTGCTGCTCGAATAACGCATGAATACTTTTGAGGGTAGGTCGAAATTTATGACGATATGAGCTGCGTAGGACATTGAAATGGTGTGTACCTCCATAGAAAATTGCTTCCAAACCAATTTTTTATTCAAACGATTATGCCCTACCAATTTATACACATCATGACACAGCGTAAATCTCGCCCGGCAAGGCCCCATTTCATAACGTGACCCAAGCAGTGGGTTTGGTTTTGGTAAATAACTTCGCAAAACATGGCCGCAGAACCACGATTTTGACATCGTCGTGTTCGCCTTGCTCAGGCGCGTCGAATGGTATACTTTTGTTCAGGTGAGGCCACCGTAAGGTCAACCTGACCTTGACCTCGAGCCAAGATCAGATCAGAGGTCTTCAAATCACGAAGTTGGTCGAAGGAGGTCATATCGCATATCATTCTATTTGGCAGGTCTTCCGGAGTCCATTGGTGACCTTGTCGACTCTCTAGCTCAAGTTGATCGGGAGTTATTGACGAAAAACTCGTATGACCCTAGTGACGTCATAAATGACGTCATGCAAGGTCAACAATGCAAAAATGCAGCATCAGATCTTGCAAGGAGTGCATGAAGTAACGATTCCATGTACTTGAGACAATTGAATATCATTCCTGGCGCCAAAATAACAGTTTTCATATTTCCCCATTGACTTATAGGTGAGGTCACGTGACCTACCTGACTTTATGTGACATTTAGGAAAAATCTGAGATATACAAGTTGTAACACCTCTGAAGGACAATAAGTCCTGCAAGTCTCACCTCCTGTGAAAGTTACTTTGGCATTGAGAGCGTCGCAGGGTTGCGACATCTGAGGATCGTGCAGAGGCTCATTTATGACGTCATAGGTCAGTGACCTGACCTGACTTGAAAGTGCGGTTGGTGTCACAAGATGCAGCGTGCATCAAAGGTCAGGTATGCCAGGTTGCAGCTCTCTATTGCCTGGATGTTTTGAGCTATCGCGAAAACACCCTTTGGAGCATTTACCACTTGTGCTCAAGTGCACCAAGCCACGGCCAACCCTTAGAAAAAAAAAGTGTCTGGATGCCAGGGCTGCAAGTGGCTGCAAATTTTTACTGGCTCCCCTAATAGATAGTGTCTTAGTGCATGCGATACAGCATTATTTTCAGTTCATCCTCGTAAAACTTTTTTGCTGGGCTTGGTCAATTCAGTGAACGTAATGTTCAGTGGTAGAAAAAATATAAAAAGTTAACCTAATTATAAGACATTTTGAACTGATTTTGTCCACTTGCTTTCTATGGCGGAATCGTCTAAACATCTAAATTTCACTTTCCATGCAAAATGGATGCTCAACACCTAGCAATTTCATCGTTCCGCAAAATATTCAAAGAGCGTAAACATCGGCTGTAATTATCCCCCTTATGAAGTGTTACGGAACGCTGTCTTTAACGATACTTTTGTCCACGAAAAAATGTCTCCTGAGCCATGCAAATGCACTAATCGTAATCTTTGATGAATTTTCTGTCGACTAGTATGCGTTGTTTTCCAATTTTCGGAAAAAAGTGTCTTTGAGGTTTCGCGAGGCTAGACCGGCCCGATCGCCTACCGTGCAGTGCGCGGATGAGTCAGTGTTTGCAGCTACCGTCTTTCTCTGCTGCCGCCCATAATTGTCCCCTGTCCCGATCGTCGCGATTTACCCTCGTGTTCTCCCTCTCTTTCCGTTCCTTCATTTCGTACTGATAATTTCCTACCCTTTCCCGAAATTTCCCTCAAGACTCTTTATGAAAATAACAGATTGATATATTTGTGAAGCGAAGCAAAGCGAGCAAGCGTTAACAATAAAACAGTAAAGAAATGGTACGTTTCTCCGCCAACGACGATAAATCAATAGTGAACATTTTCCTTTACAACTGATATCATACTCTGGTTTGGATAATCGTTACCTAACATTTAATCATTCGAAGATTTCCTAACCAACAAAGCTAAACAGATCTTATCATATTACCCGTTCCGGAAACTAAGCCAGTTTCAATCATTGGAAATAAAATATTACGCTGTATGTGCCAGTTTTCCTCGCCAACCCACGAAGGTACTGATTCCTAACGGAAAGTTCTGCCTTTCCCGTAGCTTCTATCATGGAGTAAATCGTTTTCCAAGTTACAACGCGTTTTCCGAATAATAATCAATCAGGTAAAATCTATACACAATATTCCTAAATAAGCATTGGTAACCTGCGTCCAGCCTGTACGGTATTGAAATTTAACTGTATTCGTTACGTTGTTAATTCATAATATAAATTTCTTAAACCCAGTTTAATTTACCCCACCCAGCCGCCAGGATAATTTCAGGGAACTTACATGGTGGGATCGGGCGTGTGTCACTCGGCCGGAGTCCCCCAGGGATCTGTCTGTCAGCCTCCGGCGGCGAGCGCTTCTCTGCCGCTCTGATGCGTCATTGCCAACTCTCTCTGATTGGTCCACTTTCCAGGGTACCATCCGGGATGCAATTTATGTCTTGAAATTTTACTGGTTTCTTGTAGTTTTCTTGTATATTAGCTACGATTTGACGTCCAGCGTTTGATGTAACCTTTTACTTGAGTGTTTTCAACGTCCCCTTCCATTGCTGATGGATTTTGCGACTTCGGTCCTGCGCTGTCCCCTGGTGACCATTTGGGGCTCTTCGGGGAGGGGTTGGTGACGTACCCTCGCGGCTCCGCCCCTGGGTCGTTGGAGACAGTCACTCGGCTCGGATAAAGCTGCTGAATCTGCGGCGACGGCGGCCGGCCGTTGCTGACTCAGTTGTGGATGAGTCGCAGTGAGGGCAGGCATGTGGCGATGACAGCGGACTGTGGTCATTGCGCCACAGCAGCTCATTCGGGGCTGTGATGTGCCTCTGTCGCTCATCGTGCGGGGTCGTTGTAGACATTCACCTGTTCTGGATCAGAATGCTGACGCTGCGGCGGCGGCGGCCGACCGGCTCTCTGTCCCGACGGCGCTGACACTGGTGGGGATGAGGTGTTGGGATGGAAGGCTTGTGACCAGTGTGCCACGGTATGATGAGTCGATGACTGCTGCTGCTGAGTATGGGGAGGGGAGTATGGCGGGCGGCTGGGTCCCGATCTGAAAATGTTAAAACGTCCCAAGATGTAGCCTTGCTACACCTACATGTCTGAGATGGTCAGAGTTTAACCTACAGAGATGGCATGGAATAGCATATGGCTCACAGTATCGTGTGAAGCATCCATAGCGCTCCACTGTATCATACTGGGAACTTGAGATAGCCGGAGGCACATTTTATATTATGAACGACATTGACAATGCACTATGCAGTGTCTCCGTGTTTAATCGCTCACTTGTGCCACTTCGTGACTGTGTCCCTTATACTGACCTGTTCTGTTTTGCTCTGATCTTGTTGCAGGATGGCAGTGACCTGCAGGAAACTGTATAGACTGTACATCAAATCCTCAACTGAAAACTGCCAGGCCGTCCTGACTGCCCTGCACGAGACAGACCTGGGATGTGACAGTGACCAGTCCCGCATCATTTATCTTCGGGTCCCCGGTAAGTGACGGCGTCTCTGACCACCCACACCAGCCGACACGGCGCCACCGGCCTCTCGGACACGCACACTGACGCACGTGACGTCACTAGTACTGACGTCACGCTTGGTGACGTGTATCTCCGTTAGTGACATCACAGTATCAGTATCAGCCCTCATAACGTCATTAGTCGGTGATACACACATTGTCATTGTGTTCGTTTATGTATCTGTAGGTGACGTCATCAGTTTGAGTTGCCCCATGTAACATCACTAGCAATCAGTGTGTAATCTGACGTGTTCCGTTTCCAGAGTCTGCATACGACAAGCTTACTGAGCCTCCCAATGGCAGCAAAATCTACTTGGGTTCCTACACGTAGACGACTAGCTTCCCGGTGCCTCGTCCGCTCCGGTGCCGGGCGGCAGTGTCGGAACTCGACAACAGGTGGCAGCACCGTGTCTTGTCGGCAGCGCTGTACGGGGCACAATGCACATCTAGACATTCATATCCAGAAGTACTTCGAGCCGCCCTGTACCATCGGGCCAGTTCCGCGGGTACTTTACCGCCGTGCCAGGCTGGTTTGGGTTAAGTGGCCACCTAAATGCTTGATCATTTGAGCACAGATTGCTACGTTTGTTGACACTGCTTTGATAGACAGTGGGTATGTTCACTGTTCAGCATCCGAGATTTATCACGCTCCGGGCCACTGTCCAGCCGTCGGTAAACTGTTGTCATCGTGCCGGAGGTACCGCCGTGGTGACGTCACGTGTGTTGTGACGTCACGCTGGCTCACGCCGCTGTGCTGTTGTGTTGTAGTTTCAGTTTAGACCAGAGAGAGGTTGGAGCTAGCTGTGAGGGTGTCCGGTCCAGGCGATATCGGACCTCGCCCGTCACTGTCGGACCGTCGGTGGTCCGGTCGGCTGTGGTTCGTTTGGACCGGATATGTCCGGTTCGGTGTCGCTCATGGGATATCACGGGCTGATGGCGATTGAAATACACAGTGGTTGAGACGTTCAATACACCAATGTTACTGGATTCCCAAGCGCCACTATGTAGTGCTGTCATTTCGTAACGGTAACTAGTCAAAGGGATTGTAAGGCTGCTGACCATTATGCAATGCTTTGAACATATCATTCCATAATGTCATACGAAGTTGTGATAAAAAGAAGTCACTTTCTTGAAGCGACGTGGAGCTCTAATGTCGGATCCTTCATAAAAAGTGTGTGCAGCGTCAGGCTGCCTAATATAATTGTTCCGTAAAAATTAAGCCAAACCCAAAGAGTTACCTACCAGTAAAAAAAAGAAAAATCAGGTCATTCCCAGGAAATGCATCCCTCAGGGGGCGGGGGAATCATACTTTTTACCCGCACCGCCGGCCCAGCACTTCAGTTGACTGAGCCGTAAGGCTGTACTGATTATCACACATGAAGTGTGTCTATGGTGATCAATGTGTCACCCAGCCCGTGTGCTGCGGCACAGCCTACCACTGCAGGCAGCTGACTGACCGCTGAGAAACGGTGCATCGTTCTGCCGTCAACTGTAGACTGTACAGTGTGTATTAGTTATATTACAGCTGTATGGACACAGCACGGGTACGGATCCCGGGACACCATACCATCGACTGGTGGATACAGGACACGGTCTAGTATCAAGCGGTGCGATATCGCCGGTGGTCGTTATTTCTTTTAGAAGGCTGGATACCGCCAGTGGACACTATTTCTTTTAGAAGGCTGGATGTCGCCAGTGGCCACTATTATTTTACTCAAGACTGGATATCGCCAGTGGCCATTATCACTTTTAGAAGGCTGGATGTCGCCAGTGGCCATATCACATACATAGAGGGGTCCAATAGGGCCTTTCGGTTGGTTTACTAACCTCTAAAACGTGGTGAATATTGACGTAACGTTTATCACTCAGTTCTAATCAATACCCTTACCTGAAAACGTTCGTGGTCCGATCATTGACCTTGGAAGTTTTGCATTGTTTAACCCGCGCCGGGCCGGGGGGGGGGTGTTTGAAACCCCCCTGCGGTTCTTCGCAGATATATCAAAAACGGCGGCTCGGAGCGCCGCCGTTTTTGGCATACCTGTTCATGCATCTTTTCCGCACATCTTGTGAAAAAAATTCAGACCCAGGGCTCTCAACGTCAGGTCACCAGGTCAGGTCAGGTCAAGTGACCTCACCTCAGGAAAAGTTTCAATCCTCGTCATAGCTACAGCGACTGAAGGATCGCCTTGAAACTTTCAGCGATTGATAAGAGTAACAGTGTGTACAAAATGTTTAGGTATCTCGGAATTTCGATATCGGTGACCTAAGGTCAGGTCAATTTTGCGACCTCTCCATCATACTCTGTAACAAATATTCAGTACACTATGGCATGAAAATCAATCAAGCGAAAACGTTCATGGCACCAAAATAGCTTTGCCTGAGGACATCCGGCCAGTTCAGATTAAATTTGGACAGTCGATCATTTCTGAAAGCCGCACAGTTAAAAATCTCGGCCTCACTATGGACCGACATCTGACGTTCGGGGATGATGTTAGCCAGCTGGTTGGCAAATGTACCTACCGGTCTTTTGAGTTCGCTGTCCCATTCCAAGCATGTCACACGTGCCTGGACCGTTGCTTACATTGTGAACGCGCTTGTGGCTAGCTCTATTCGCTACTGCATCTCCATCTACGGGTCCTGTGGTAAAACAGAAAAAACCACAATCAGAAACTGTTCAATTTCTGAGCTCGTGTTGTGAGCGGCCGGCACAAATTTGATCACATTTCTGACGTGTTTCATCAACTCGGGTGGTTACACGCTGAGCTGCGTGTGAGCTACCATAGCACGCGCACCGACGGGGGGGGCGGATATCCGCCCCCTGAGGTTTTTCGCGGATAGCGGGAAAACCGCGGCGTGTAGCGCCGCGAAATTTGGTATGACTATTCCCTTATCAATTTTACACATGGTGTGCAAGTTTGAACCTCCTACCTTTCAAGGTCAGGTCACCAGGTCACTTTGAATGACCCAACCTCAAGTCACTTTTTTGCAACTTTGTCACCGTGCCAGAGCTACAGTAGATGTCGGAGGCCTTTGAAAGTCGCAGGATGTTATTAGGTCATTAGTAGCTACAATTTGTATATCTCGGAATTTTGATATCGGTGACCTAAGGTCAGGTCAATTTCGCGACCTCCCCATTATAAGTCAATGGGGGAAAAATCAACTCCCTGTTTTTACCACTAAAACGGGTCGGAATGGCCCCATATACCATACATGACTTCATATACGATCAACCTTCACTACCTTGAGGTCTGTTTTGCTGTTGGACAGCTGTGAGGTCATGTGACGTCATCAAAGGTCACCAAAGGTTTTTGGCCAATAACTCCGTACAGGAACAAGATACAGACGCGTGGATGGTCTCATTGTGTTCAGCTCGTCAAGACGCATCGAATGATATACATGATGACCTCGAGGTCACGTGACCTGAGGTCAACCTTTGACCTTGACCTTTCGAGGTCAACATATATATCATTCGATGCGGATTGACGAGAGGATCACGATGATGCCCTTAGTTTGTTCCTATCTTGACTAATTCGAAAGTTATTCGAGAAAAACTCTCTCCATATTTAGCGCCGCCATTTTGACTTTTTCGACCCCTGTGACGTCATCTTTGACCTGACCTGAAAATGACCTTAGTAAAAATTGTAGATCTTGACCGTGCGTATCCGATGCCGTTTACCGCTTGTCGCTATCTTGCTTCGTTCTCGAGATCTCAGGGGGGGGGGGCGGTCATCCGCCCCCCCCCGTCGGTACTAAGTTAGCGCAGACCCCCGTCGGTGCGCGGGTTAATGGCGTAAATAAAGGGGTAAATAACAGCAGCTTAGTGGAACTGTTATAGCGTTCTAGTTGAATCAGCATTGACAGCATTTCTTACACCTGCATTAACACTGACACTGCATCAATGTGTTTACAATCATGTCACCAAAAACGAATAAATCGGACACTTTTATGAACAGCCAACACCAAACCCCAAACTTCTCCATCCGCTACATCTCACAGGTCACAACACCCTCCCACCTCCACCATATGTTTCAGCAGCACAATTATCGGTGTGATTTTCACTTTACAAACCATGGACACAACAAAACACTGTGACAAAAAGACACCGTCGAGTGTCACCGCAGCGTTTACTTTCCATAACAGCTGGTCAGCTATTCAGATGTTTCTTGTCTTATTTTCAAGGACGCATCAAGGCGAGGGGAGGCGGGGGACCTCCGCTTGGATTTCTCCTTTGCCTGCGAGGGCAATAACCGATAAGGTGAGTTGTATTTAATTCTGAAATACGGCCTATACGAACTGACAGACATGTGCGTGCATGGATCAGAGTGATAGATCTATGATCTCATTGGATCTCCAAGCAAACTGCATGTTAGGAACTGCATGTATGCTGCAATACTGCAGGCTGCAAGCTGTTTTCTTCTTGTTCTTCAGTCACTTTTCTTCAGTCACTTTTCTAATAATAATTTCCGATATATGTGAAATATATATTGATTTGACCAAGAGAACCATTTTATCTGTGCAACGATTTATCACAAACATAATTACGTTCTTTACTTCTTCGCTGAATTGTCAGCTGGATTCTTCTATAACCATGACACAAAGCAACGTCCATTTGGTGAAGGATTTTTTTTACAGCTCAATAAAGGATCCCTTCCCGTCAGGTGAAGGATTTCTCACAGTATGACGGGAAATGCCTTCCGACCTGCAGGTCTGGTAACTGTCTTGGAACCGTTCTCAGTACACAAACTGTACTGGCCTGGGAGAGTGGCGGTCATTTTAGAACGCTCGTTGACCCCAAACTCACACGGCAGCACTTATAAGTTCAGTTTGTGAGCTCAGCAAATAACCAGAATGGTGGCTCCAAGTGCACGTGCACTTCGCGATTTGGGACCGACACAAGGCCATATATAGGGAGGGACCAGCAATAGGAAAGGCGGTGAGCCGGTTGGTTTGTCTTTGAGAGGTAACGTGTGTCTATTGGCGGTGATTCGATTGATCTGCTTGTGTGGTCGTCTGTCGTTTTGTTACCTCGTCTTATCTGCATATATTGGTTATTGTCTTATCTATCCATTATGCCAGTTTGATTGTTTCCTTATTTCCTGTTTTATATAATACTGAACGAGGCCGGTGTAAATAAATTTTCGAGACCGAGGTCCTTACTGGATTTTTGAACGAGGCTGAAGGCCGAGTTCAAAAATCAGCAAGGACTGAGGTCATGACAATTTATCACCGGCCGAGCTTGGTATGTATTTTACTGTATGCCAACGATAAATTTATTTTCTGGACCGAAGCTCTTAGCCGGCTTAGGAACGAGACCATCCCAAAATGTTGGCTTAAGTGCATTCTGGTAATGCATTTTTGACCGTGGTCAATTTTTGGTCAATTTGCTTACACCAGTTATTACCACACCCCTCTGGCTAATGTATTTGAATAGGCCAGGCATACAGTAAATTTTTTTTCTTCCCTCACACTTTTGTAAGGAAATCGTCTTTCATTTTATTTATAATTCCAATCATCCTTTCTCAATCCATATGTCACCCTCCAATTATTTCCTTTCCACCCAAATCTGCCTTCTCTCTCTCCCCTCTCTCTCTCTCTCTCTCTCTCTCTCTCTCTTTCTCTCTCTCTATCCCCCCTCTCTCTCCCTACCTCTCTCTCTCTGTATCTCTCTCTCTCTCTCTCTGTCTCTCTCTCTCTCTCTCTCTCTGTCTCTCTCTCTGTCTCTCTCTCTTTCTCTCTCTCTCTCTCTCTCTCTCTCTCTCTCTCTCTCTCTCTCTCTCTCTCTCTCTCTCTCTCTCTCTCTCTCTCGTCCTTTACGACGCCACTGAACCATATCAAGGTTGTTAAACCCTCCCAAATCGGGGACGTTTGAGACATATGGCACGTGAAAACTCTGTTTGGATGCTACGGGCCTATGATTTCTAACCAGCTGTTTTGTGGACGGGAGCAACGCTTGACTAAGCGGACTAGCGGT